TGGGGGGGTGGAAATAGGAAAAAGTATTTTAAGCAAAGAAATCAGCTTGAGCAAAGGCTTGGAGATGACAAGGTATATGACTGGTTTGCAAAAACAAGTTTAGGAGTAGAGACCATGTGTGGAAAGAACAACAACAGGCTAGGAGGTTTATTCAAGAAGTGCTTGAGGATCACAGCAAAAAGACAAAGAAGCCAACTCTAAGGTGTGCCACCAGCTTAATGGGATAATTTGAACATCATAAAGACTAATGATGGCATGGGTTAAAACATCAGATATGTAAAAATGCATGCATTCACAATGATACTAAACAAACAAAACCTTATTGGTTAACACTGAAGGTGACTAGGGCATCAATTCATTTCTCTGAAATTTGATAAAGTGAAAGAACCCAGCATTTTTCCAGTCTTTCCTCTGAGATCCCTGTATTTTAGGATAACCAAAGAGTTGATGAGAGAGAGTTCTTTTTCAAAAGAATCCCAGGTAATAAAGAAAATTATTGAAAGTATTAGAATAACTGTTCTAGGATAAAAGACTTAAAAGAGGCATACCAAAATGCAATGTGAAGACTTTTTATCTTTTGATCAGAACAAACCAACTATTAAATGACATCTTGGACACAACCAGGGAAATCTGAATACGGACTGAGATGATATGAAGGAATTATTAATTTTGTTAGATATGACATTGGTGGTTAAGTTTTAAAAACAACCCGTATCAGTTTGAGATGCAGATTAAATTAAAAGTAAAATAATGTCTGGGATTTGTTTTTAAATACTCAAACAAAAAGAAGGGAGGGGATAGATGAAATGAGATTGGCAAAATGTTGATAATTGTTGATTCTTGGTGATAGGTACATGAAGGATCATTACTAAAAGTGGATTCAGTTTTGCCTATGTTTAAAATTTCCTCATAATAGTTTCAAAAAGCAGAGCTAGCCCACACACCACGTGATCTTCAGTGGCTTTTAAACTCAGGGGTCGAACAGTCACAGTTACGAAGCCCTTAAACGCTGATGCCCTGGGGCCAGGGCGCAAAGTGCGGAGGCCCGACGCCCAGGAGCTTGGAGTCCTCAGCTCGCAGAAGCCGCTCTGCGGAAAGGGGATGTCCAAAATCAAAGACCAACTACTCTAGAAGGTTCTGAGAGTTCCCAGGGATTTCCGAAAGAGGTTGCAGAGTGAAACTAGCCCTGCAACGTTGAACTGGGTGGGCGGCTAAAAACTAGAGACTCCGTCTCGGGAACGCTGTGGCAAGTGAGGTTGACTCCTCCCCATTCCTGCCATTTCTTCTTCTCTTCTTCCCCCGCCCTCTCAGCTGCAGGACCGAGGCGGATCCCCCGCCCGACTCTCCCACGCCAGCCCCACCTTTTCCTTTTGGGCCCCGCCCCTCCCCTCTAGGGCCCCGCCCCCTCTAGGGCCCCG